CGCCGGGTAAAGGCAGTGTCTACGACATTGCGCGGTAAAGGGAAACCGCGGTCTGGGTTCGCGTCAAGGAAGAGGTCGGTGGTTTCCCAGTTGGCGCCGAGCGGATAGATGTCTTCGTAGCGTTCCTGAAGTAGGCGGTGGTCTCGAGCGGAAGGATGATCGCGGCGATCACGGCGAGGTTCACGTCGAGCTGGAGGTGCACCGGAGGAAGAATAGTGGGAAGGATCATCATGAGGTGGAGGAGTGGAGTGCACCCGGCTGTCAGAATGTGGTGCCCGTCGGTCAGAGTCGGAAGGAGGAGGATGTCGTCGAGACGATGGCCGTGGTGAAGAATAGTGTAGCCGACGTCGTGGGGGAGAATCAGCATCAGGATCTCGATGTCGATGTTGTCTGATCGAAGTGCCACGGTGGCGGTGGCGGTGATGTTCCGGCGTGTTGGACACCGGGGTTCGGCTGCGATGTCGTCGGGACCGAGGAGGAGACGTACGGCTGTGTGCGCGATTGTCCCGGAAGGACCCCGACCTGGGAGGTTGCGTCGTAATGTTCCGCTGGGACGAATAGGGATCGTGTCGAGAAGGTTCATCACGTCCATGTAGACGATGTCGTCGGGAAGGTGGAGTGCGAGAGCGGTGTGGAGGCATAAGGAGGAGGAAGAATGGGAGGAGGCGTGAGGAAGCAGGCGAAAGGAGCCAAAATAAAACGGCTGCGGGAAGTGAGCTCGCTTAAGAACTGCTGCAATAGCAAATAGTCCTCTTTGTCCAGGTCCTGAGCGCGCATCATGAGAAACGTCCGAGCCGGATCAGAGGTAACTCCTGGTAGCTGGAGGGAATGAAGACCCAATGCTGAATTCCACGGTGTAACGCCATACCGCGGACTTGTTGTGGACAAAACGGATGGAAGATGGACAGGCACGGTCGAGAAGAATGTGGTCGTGGAAGATCGGGTGTGCGTTCCACGTAGAAGGCATATTGAAGTCCACGATCACGAAGAAGGGCTCGTACGGCGTAGTATGTTCGCGAGCAGGTCACCATCAAAGAGGCAACGACACCGGGATGAAATGTGATCTCGGCGAGGGCATAGTGAAGGTGATAGTCGCGTTCCGTCCGGAACGCAAGGGCCTGGCCATGTAGTTCAGCGATAGGAAAGAGGCACCTTAACGTGGAGTCCGGAGCGGGTGTACGGGCAGAAGCAGTGTCCATCATCGAGTCCGGAGGGACGAGAGCTGTACGTAGACGAAGTTCCAAGAGTGGTAAGAACACCCGGAAGAGAATGAAAGGATCAGTCAATACGTCCAAGTACTCCAGGACAGTTGCCGAAGTGGATGACGACAAGGTCGAGCAGGAAGAGGAGGCAGAGGATGAAAAAGGAGCAGAGCGTCGGAAAGGCATGTATGGTACCAGGGAAGGGCAGGACTGTGGAGTGATGTAGAAAATGGCTGCGGAACATCCAAGAAAAGGAGGAGCAGAGTCGGCGAGGGCACATGTTTTGTTCAGGCCCGAGCGACGGAGTAGAGAGTCAGGGGTGGGCGCTGCTGGTCTCCGCTCAGATCCCGTCGGTGTCGATCACGGTCTCGATCGCGATGGGGAACATCACGCGCACCTCGAGAGCGGTCAGGATCCTCACGATCATCACGGTCTCGGTCAGCACGGTCGCGGCGGCGACGCCGACTGCGGGATCGGCCGGTTGTCGCCGTTGTGGTCCGTGGAGGAGGAAGTTGCGGTCGCGCTTTGACCGGTACATAAGTCAAAGTGCCATCAGCATCGACCTTAGGTGCAAGAGGTCGTCCAGTGTGCTTGGAGACAGCCGGAGGTGGAACTGTGTGGCCGATCGGGATGGCATCAGAATGTCCCGGGGTTGATGGCATCGGCGGAGAAGAAGGTCCAGCAGGTAGCGGGTCAGGAGGAAGTGGGGATACCGAGCGACGTCGTCGGCGATGACGATCACGATCGCGGTCTTCAGCGCGAGAACGTTCTTCATCTCGAGGGCGGCCGCGATCTCGTCTCCGAAGTCGTGGCAGGGTCTGGCGCTGGGAGGGATCCACATGAGGAGGAATCGGTGGTGGTCCCATGGGGGCCGGAGGGGCCACACTGCCGTCTGGAAGTACTTGAGGTCCAGGAGAGTCGTAGGCGGCTTGACCAGAATAAGGGCCTGGGTCACTGGAGGTGAGCGGCGCTGTGGCAGGTGGGGGAGCGTCGGGAGGCGGTGGAGTAGATGTCGTAGCCACCGGTGTCACAGGGGTCAACGTCGGTCGATTCTGATGGGCTCGTAGTAATACATCACGTACTTGGAGCAGTTGGTGGTCGGACAACGACTCGAAAAACACCAAGAACAACTGCAAATATTCAGAAGTGAAGGCGGAGGAGGCCATGATGTGCTAGGAAGGTTTCAGCAAAACGGCTGCGGGATGAAGAGGAATAAGGCTGCAACAACAAAGAGACCAGCCATGCCACACCGCAAGTCACGCACACCTTTTGTGGGTCCTCTCACATGAACACGGCAATGCCTTCTGGTTGTGCCAGCGTGGAGTGCACGCCCCAACGGTTGTCGTTGCCGTGTAGGATGGAGACGAAGTAGTTCGCAGCGTTTTCGGGGACGGTGCCCCCACTGTCGCTCTTCAGGTGATAGGCCGCGGGAGTGTTGGGGAGCACTGAAGACGGTGTATCGGTAGGCGCGGCATTGGCTATGTCGAGATAGCAAATGGGGATTCGGCCATATACACAAATCGGACGGGGAGAACCCCATCCTCCGAACTTGGCTGCAGCCCGTAAGGCTCCGCTGAGACTGTGGACGGAAGCGCGAGAGTAAAAAGCAGGACTCGGCAGCCAAGAAGCGTCAAGGGGGTCGAAGTTGCTGGGGCGGATGCAGCCTTCTTTTAGGATGCCAAAAGCCGCCTGAAGGTCCGTGTTGTGACCGAAATACGCGACTGCAGGTGCCCCGCTAACACGCTGTGCTGCTGCCGGGAAGGGGAGCGAAACCATCAGCATCGGTCTGCCTGCTTGGTCTGGTTGATGTTGGGGAGCCTCGACGTGTGTAAACTTGAACTGAACACTGTGAGGATGGTATCCAGCATGTACCAGCAGATGCATCACTGTAAGTATCGGATCGGCTAGAGTGAAAGCCACATCAACTTGGCGTCCCTCCAAGAGTAACTCCCGTTGACATTGTCGACGATGAGGGAGCGCTTTGAAGTAGGACCTGTATTGCAGCAATGCAGTATATACTCGATCCCAGTGTACCGCCTTGAGGGAGCCCAGCCGTGTGGAGTAATCGGATTGCAGGTAGGTATCAAGTTGGCCTGCCGTGGCCAAACACTGGCGTAAGGTTGCCAACGTGCAAGCAGAGCTGAAGGGAGCTGCTGAGGTCGAAGATGCTGTAGGTGGCGAGGTCGAGGATGCCGTAGGGGTGGTAGACGGGTCCGGCGGTGAGGTAGAGACATAGGCATCAGCAGGCACTGACTGGTCGTTGTTCGAGGAAGACGGGGTTGAGCCAGTGGGAAGCAAACCAGGCCAAAACGGGCTCGGAGGAAGAGGAGAAAGATCAGGGAGAGTGCTTGGAGCTGCCATATCAATAGGTCGTGGAGGCTGTAAAGGGGCAGCGATTCGGCCAGTCAAAGTAGAACGTTGAGGTGCCGCAGTCCGGGTCGTAGGTGCCGCCGGCGTTGACGACGAAGGGGAAGAGGAAGACGATGAGGACGCAGACCTCGGGCGTCGCCGAGATCGTGATCGAGAGGGTGCAGTCGTCCAGAGTCCAGGTGCACAGGATGGACGGGGACGAGGAGGCATGGCGAATGCAGACAAGCAATGCACAGCCTACAACAACAACTACTACAGGGAAAAGCCACTAGAACGTTACGGTCAAAACTCTTCCTGCCTGAGTCCTTGGGTATGAGTGCTTGAAGCCGCTTTAGCTGCAATCGCGTTTTGGTAGGCATGGAGCCGAATTTGTGGGTGCCATGAGAGGCGGTTAGGCCATGTGGCTTCACTGCTCTCCTCATTGAACTGATCTAAGCGCTGACACTGAATTTGGCGCCTCCGAACTTGGAGGATCTGAGTGCAGCACCGAGGCATACACCACCGTCCCGGAGGACTACACACTGAATGCTAAGAGAGGTTTCTGCATGCGAAGGACCACCTGATGCCCAGGTCTTGGGCGACCATGCACCAGCAACTTTGAACACGTATCTTCATGTGCAGTAAGGTCGAAGCTGAACAGCTCAAAGTAATCCCACATAAACCTGAAGACCTGACTAAACCACAAAGGGCCTGAACCTCGATCCCGGCGCAAGCAAGCACTGCAAGTACTGTATGCCAAGATGTCACGCAAGCACTGACGGAGTTCAGAATGGGGTTCTTGGCTTGGCCCCAGGCCATCCAGAAGATTTCCTCACGCATAAAGTATAACCAATGCACAGCGAGGATGCTAGATACCAAATACGTTCGTTGTGCAGGTACACGGAGTTGATCAGACTCCGCTTCCCCCATGGTGGATAGCTTCGTTGGCACAGGTACCACCATGGGCCTGTGCCCCCTGCTGTGTACTCTGTGCTCAAGTTCAGTTATATGTAAATCGTAAGTAGGAAATGGCTGCAGAGCGTGAGGAGAAGACCCTTGGATACAGGGTTGTCACACACACACACACACACACACTTCGTGACACGATGCGACCTTCTAGGTCCTACGCGGAGGCTGTGAGAGCAGCTGCGGCAACCCTGCCGAGTTGCGGTTAGGGTGATATCTACAACAGACTCTCTTGTGCACGCCTACGAACAGCACATAACAAAACACGGATCAGGAGGAAGAGGAGGAGGAGGAGGAGGAGGAGGAGCAGGAACGACAAGAACCAAAACGACGGCAACAACAAAGCAAATGACAACAGCAACAAACATCGGCATCAAAAGCAACGCACACAACTACAGTTGCACCCAATCTGATGGCCTTATTCTTATACAGTGTGAGGACAAAACAACTTTAGCAGAACACTCGAACAATTGACCGAGTAACCCCGCGACTGCTGATCAGCCATGCAATGCCGGTGATCTTGTCAAGCCTCAGCTTGCGATCTGCCCATATGGGCTTGCAGAAACTCGAAAACAGGCTATCCTCTGGGGTACAAATCCGGCCTCTTGTGCCAACACTTGCCGGATAAGTCTCAGGAAATAACTGAGCCTCAACAATATCACACAACCTTTAGCTAAGGAACCCCCCACCAGCCTGAGCTCCGTAACTTGAAGATCGACCCTGAGTAGTCGGATCCTTATCCTTCTTATTCTCCATACGTTCTGCGGAGCTCCACAAATCCCTGCCGTCCACGGCGCGTGCCACGGCGCCGGAACGCAGCCTGTGCGGCCCTCCGCAGCTGCGCGACACTGGTGTCCTGTCAGCAAATAACCGATCTATCACTCTATGAAGCTCGTGCCGCTTCTGACCCTGCTTGCGTTTTCACAATATTACAAACCTACCTGACCTACCGTTGTTGCTATGAAGACCATGATCCTGATCGAAAAACAGTGATGGGGCTGACGGACCATCGAACTGAAAGCTGAAGCTCGTGCTGGAATGGTTGCTGGTTGCTCAAAGTTTCGATGCAGGGTGAGACATGTTGGGAGTCGGTTCAACAAACACATCTCCCAGCCTTGGCATTTTCGGAGAGCTCGACCCGCTCTCCGCTGACCAAAGCCACGGTGACTCGCATCGTCACAAGCATTGCAGCTACGCGTAGCAATGAGTTGTGGTCCGCGTTAGGACCCAGCCAACCATGACTCTTGCAGTGTGGACCAATCTAAAGGGGAAAACCGAAATCCTGCGATGCTTTATTCGAAGAAGCCCTAGCTGCAAATGTCTCATGGCATGCATGACCACAGCTCATGCTACAGGACACAGGAAGCGATCCCAGTGCGAGTTGAGAAGGCGATGGATCGTCTGTGTAAGTCTTCGCCTTGCTTTGGCTCTTCGTGCTTTCAAGCGCTTCGAAGCCCTGCATCTACGAAGAGTTTAGAAAAAACTGCCATGCAACAACGATTACGATCCCGAGAGCAACAACCACTCGTGACATCTAGTCCATGTCTCATGACATACGACCTTTCAAATCCATTCGCCGACTGCACTCCTTGCGGGCAACACGGATTGCTTCCTCCGCTTGAACCAGTCAATGATCAGCCAGAGGACACAAGCTGCAGAGGAGCATGGTAGCTCAAGCATCAGAAACCTCAAATCCGAGTATTGGGTCCAGTAAACTGTTCCGAGAAGTCAAAGAAGTATGGATAGTTTTCACCCCAGGAATTGGGACATACAGGGCCAAGGACTCCAAAAGCTCTTTCAGCCCTTGCATGTGCAAGATTCGAGAACCCATGCCCATGTCGGAACCCCAGGTCCCAGATCCTGTGTAGCGCTCAGGGCATTCCAGACATCCTGTGATGACGGTTGGCGTCGCAATCGAGGCTCAGAGAGCACCTACGGTAATGGTCCGCTGATCCATCGCTGGCATTCCTTTCATGCCGTAGAACTGGAACATGCAAGCTGCCCTATGCCTAGCTTGCTGGGCTCATACGGCACACGGACACACCGGAACCTCGACCATAGCATCCCATACTCGGCACGAAGATGTCCAATCCTCATGCCAATCACAAGACATCCCTAACTGGCCTCCACTCTGGCGTCGTTGGGAGGCACCCTCAGTTGGCTTTTTTGACTGGGCTCCCATCATGTCTCCGACAAAGAACCAGCGACGACGTGTAAGTGCCTGAGAACTAATCAGCTGGAGAGAATTCCGGCTTGGCCCTCTTCACTGCTTCACTGCACCTCTCGTCTTGACCACTCCAAAACCTAGAAGAAGCTCAGCCCACGGCGGCCAGGCACCGCGCCCCAGCAAGGCTGCGGCAGCAGCAGAGACTGGCATGGAGTCAAACCAAGCATCCGCGAATCTTTGAACATCCTAAATGCCAAGCTCTCAACACGAAGCTCCTCGACATGACATTCTAACTTGGGAGTCTGTTGGGGTTGGGGTCCTTCGCCAAAGCATATCGTTGATGAGTCAAAGAGCCGCAATGTGCACATGTCATCTCCAGAACACAGATGGTGAAACGACGAGATCTCCCAAAAACTCCACCGGATCTGAAGGCTTCGCTCAGCCAGCTCTAGGGTCAGGACTCCAAGCAAAAGCTCTGTGCCGTAGCTCTGTGCCGTGTGTAATTCTGCCCCTGCAGCCTTCACCCCGATGCAATTTGCCATCGCCCATGTCCCAGTCGTCGTAAGCACCGGCAAGTGCGTTCCTTTGCTGGACAAGCAGGAAGGTCAGTTTCAGCTCTTCTGACTGGACTCAGCAATGGCATGATCTGGACTCGTCTGGTTCGTCGATGTTCGTGAGGGGCATGGGCATCAGTGGAGGGCCGAGGGCCGCGCCTTGAGCTGAATCTGACAGAACCGCTAGGTCTCCAGGTGTTGGCTCCCATTCTCCGAAGTTTGCCAATGTCTGAAGATTCCTTCGGCAAGCAAGGTGCAAAAGCTCTCTCACCTCCATCACCTGGGGCTGTGCAGGCTTGGTTAGATTCTCACTGGCTCCGTGCTTGTTTGAGGTATGCTCCCTTGGTCGTCTGCCTGGCCTGACTGTACCTGCCTCTCCAGGTTTTGGACTCATCCCATTGCAGCCTGCATTCTGAGAACTTCAAAGAAGCGTGCCGCGGCGGAGTAGCACAACACTTCAAACTTGAAAAACCCTGCACAGCCTGCTCTGAATCCTTCCGTGTACTCTCCAATCCTTTCCAAGTCACCATTTGCGACGTCTGCTGCCATGGTGGCCGCCATTTCAAGGCAGCCTGAGAATACTTCTCTTTCCACTTCCGACACAGGCTTCCTTCAAGAGTCCCTGTGTGTCCCTGCAGAACAGCCCCTTGTTGACACAGGTGTAACCCTAACAAGCGAAGCGTAATTCCGGAGACAGCAAGCTTATAGCTGAAAGCTATCCCTATAATCCTCGAGACCCTAGCACCTCAAACCGCGACTGTCATAAAAAGTGCCCCGCATAGTGCTGTGTGGAGGAACCCTTCACCCAGCCTGCAGCACTTGCTGAGAATCCCGGGTCATCGCCTCAGAATCGTCAGCAGGCCGGCTTTTGATCCCGTACCCAGGACTGGGGTCACAACCAGGGCTCAAAGGACAAGGGTTTTTCGGCACAGTGGAACATAAGAGGCCAGTAGGAAGCCGTGTTCATTCTCGCATCGGCTTTATCAGCGTCTTGATAAGGGTGCTTTCGAATTGATGCGTTGAGGGGCTTGCTGTAAGGGTTTAGCAGGTCAATAGAGGTCTGACTCAAGCCGTCAATAGGGTTGCATGAGCTGCTATAGCATGATCCCTTCATGAATAAACCGCCTTCCCTCAAAATGTCTTATGAAAAAATGCTGGGTCTTAAGTGCCTTGAGCAAGTCAACACGGATTTACCAATCATGGGTCTACATTGACCCAGACAGGCACGACTAGAAGGGCTTCTTGGGCCTTTGTTCCGTGCGAAGATCCATGCAGGATACTGAATGATGCCTTGCACTACTCACTACTCACTACTCCACATCTTACACTCCGGACACATGCGGCCATGGGATCCTGTTAAATTCGAGGCATCCCTGCGCAGGCCTTGAAGCAAAACTCCAAGACGTCACACACACACACACACACACACACACAACCACACACATGCAGCGTACACGCGCACGCGTACCGCTCCACATGCCCCCGAGACACTGCTTCGAGGTCCGCGAGGATCCTTGGCAGGTCAGGTATGGTATAGTATCCCTCCATATGTCCAGAGACAACGTGGCACCACGTGGCGGGGTGCAAGATAACTTGCATCCATTATCCATTGAAAGATCTCTGCCCCCAAGTAAAGGGAGTGCCGAATTTGAAAGCCGAAGGAACTCCGCTGGCTTGGGCCGCGGGCAGAGCTCATCACGGCCAATCAAGCTCAGGTCCTTGGGCTCACTTCCCGGAGGCTTGGGAAAATCTGTTTGCCACGGAACAAGGCCGCAAGCCTTCGACTTTGAGGATTGCAGGAGAGCTTGGTGCAACTGTACAGCATATCACTGCAAGACGGTCCTTCCCGTTTCTGAGGCTTCATGGGCTCGCGGGATCTCAAGACGGCGGTCCCAGTCAAAGCTCTTTGGAAACTGAGGCAATCTAACAAGCAACCCCTTGCCTTTCACCCCAAGCCACCAAACCAAAAATCCCTCAACCTCTCTGCTGCCAGGTGGCCCTGCCTTGTCTGGACAGGTACGCCAAGGCCTGCACCTCCGCTCGGGCTTGCAGAGCTCATAAGGTGAAGAGTTTCGGGGTTTTGGCTTTATGAGCTTGTTTCTTTCACCCAGGGGCTGTATATCCTGCAGCAAATCCTTCCAGTTTTAGGGCCTTAAGAATGAAGATGGGGTTCGGGAGTTAAGTATACTATTCTGGTAGAATTGTGACAGTGTACGTAAAGGGCTCCCTTGTTCGAAACTCTCCCAAGTGGGGGAGTTCGCCTCTCGCATTGCCAGCTCCAAGGCCGTTTGGCGCGTGAGTGCTGCGCCCGAGACCTCCACGAGTGCCTGCTCGAGCAAGCCAGTCAGGATGCTTAGGGTCTACCATCTACCATCTACTACTACGACTACTACATTACTAAGGTTTAAGATTCAGGGTTTACGGCTTAGGGTCTAGGCCTGCTTTTCCGGCGCATGGTTAGGGGCAAAGATTGCCAGCTTCCATTCATCTATTTTTTCGGGAGATGTTCTGATGGTTTTGTCATCGAAGCTTCGACGTTTGAGGACAGGCGGGTGGCATCGTCGTTCCTTGCCCCATCCTTGTCAGCATCCTTCTCGATCAGCAATATTCCCACATCAAGGTGAAATATGTGAACTGTGAACAGCGGCGAGGCAGACAAGCATCGTGCTGTAAACTTCCGTTATTCTTGTTGGCGCCCTTCTCGTTCAGCAGGCTCACGACTTCCAGGTGACCTCTGTCAGCTGTGGTCGAAACAGGTGTCGCACCCATCAGGTCTGGGTCTTGAGGTGCTGAAGCAAAGCCTCAACCGGACCAGAGCTGTTTTGTCGATGCATTTGAAAATGGCACAACGTCGCCTGCATCAACAGCGATGTCGCGAACGGCGAACTGCAATTCGAGACCGTGCTGAATCAAGACACCTTGAGGCTACCCTCGGCCCTCAACTCGAGGGCGCCGACGCTTCATGGTGATGTCGAACAAGCGTGCCCTCCTCGGAAGCGGTCGCCAGCTCGTCTGCCGACCTGCAGGCCTTGCCAACTCCCTGAGCAATGAGCCATGAATCCAGACACCAAGACTCGTTTCTGCCACTGTGCAATTTTCGGGACAATCTGCTGGAGACAAGGTCGAGCAGCTCACAACAGTTGGACAGCTGCACTACCTCAAAGAGAATCCCGACCCTGCTGCAGCTGCTTTCCACTTCACACGCACCCAACCCTGGACTGGACTCAAGAAAGCATATCAGAGTCGAGTCCATGCAAGTCACTGTCTGAGAGAACCCTTACTGTGCAAACCCTCAACCGTGAAACTCCAATATGGAAACCTTTGGATGGCCCGTGAGTTTCTATGAGCCACAGCTCATGCCTTCTCAAGGGCCACGGTATGGGCTTCCTGAGCGAGGACCTGCAACCGCAAGGGAGTTTCGGGGGAAACAGGTTCCACTGTAGAATCCAGCGCGGGTGCTCTTTGCTGAGCTCTGATTTGAAGGCGTTTAAGCCCGCCAGGCTACCTGCAGCAGCTTACCATCGCGCCCGAGAGCTGAAGTTGCAACAAACCAAGATGACCCTCTTAGGATACTCCCCGAAGAGAGAATGCCAGCTCATCCCGCCTGCTCCTGCAGGACTCTAAGATGTGCGTCCACCTTTGAGCAAGGCTTCGATGTTTTTCTTGCCGGAGGCTTGTACGGGAAGCCTAAATCCTATAACCACCAAGCCAAGCCCGAGGCCCGTAAACCCCAACCTTAGACGCTGACCCTACACCCTGAATCGCAAGGCCTTATCGAAGTCTGCGTTGCGCTGGTTGATGGCATCCATGCCTCAAGTGACTTCAGCAGCCAAGGGTCTAGATGCGGGTTTCGGATTCGGCACCAGTCACTTAGTACTGAAGACACATTTGGCGGTTAATCAATAAATTAGTGGTCCACATATTAACCGAGATCCAGATCAACGCCAATAACCCTTCGTAACAACCCTATACTAACCCCTTATTACCCAAGCTAAACCTTAACCGTTAACCCTACCCTCAACCCAGACTCGGCACAAGGAAGCCGAGGCCCCGCACGTGCTTGGATCTCAAAGACCTTGTCCCACACGGAGCAGAGCTCTCCCAAACCCGCCTCGAGCTCCTGGCTCTTGGGTCTACATACGTACTAACACTGATACTAATATGGGAACTAACACTACTCAGACTCACACGGAAACTAAAACTGACACTAGCACTAATATACTGATACTGATACTGGCAACGAGTACTGGTACTGGTACTGGTACTCATATGCATACTCACCCTCATGCCAATAGCAATACCAATACGTACAGAATAATGCTAATACCAGCACAAACACTAACACGAATACCGGCACCAATACCAATGCCAATATCAACACTCAGACTCATACTCACACTCATATGCACACTCATACTCACACTCATACTCAGGCTCATACTCATACTCGTACTCGTAAGAACAATTACCACAATAGTGACACAAAAGACGAAAAAAAGAGTAGCAACAAAAATAGCAATGAGAAGAACAGACATGATAAGAACAATACAAGCACAACAACCACAAGCACCATAACCAGAATAACATCAACAACGAAAACTAACATACCAATAATATTAGTAAACATCATACGAATACTAACCACACAAATACTGTGAATGACACTCATAATCAACTACTGAGGAAAAAGAAGGACAACAACAATCAATAAGCACAACAAGATGGAACTTAAAGCAAACAGCATTCGTAATGCAGTACCAACAATAACAACAAGACTAACAGCGAAAACGGTAACAACAAGAAAATAGAAACACCAAAGGTAGTAGCAACAATACTTCTATTGACAATAACAGTACGTATAATGAAAAGAACACTGATGATAATAGCGACAATTGTGATAGTAGTTAATACTACTGCGAGTCAGAATTGCAAGAAAAAGGGGTCTGAGTGTGTAGAGCTTTGCCGGTGTTTTGAAAAGCTTGATCGGAGTTCCCTCAAACGGTTCAAAGGGTTTTGAAGGTTTGTGGATTTGAGAACCTATGACTTGGAGCCCGTCCGGTGCTATTGACCGATTTCATGAATCGGGGGTGGTGGTGTTCTCCTTCTTGGGGAGTTCCACATATGAGGCATCCCACCCCTTTGGGAGTATACCCTTCAATGGATCGTGTGAAAACTCGCTTCTGCTGCTTCTCCTACTCTGCTTTGAGCACTTACTTAGCGTGCTCTATGTATAAGTATATGTGCATATACGTATATATATATATATGTGGCTAAACTGGGTTTCATGCGGGGCTATACTTGTGTACACCCCTCCTCCTACTATTAACCACCTCGAAGAAGAAGTACTGTTTTCGTTCAGCGCTTGGAGTCATAGGACCTAGCGACTCGATAAAATCAGATTTCAGCACAAAGACCCTAGTCAAGATTATCCGGATTGCCCGAACTTACTTGCTATCACCTGCTAACCTGCTTACAGAGTCCCTCGAGTATCTGAGTGACACCCCGGGCGTCCGTCTGAGATGCGGCGTTCCTCGACTTCTTCATTGAGCCTCGGAGTTCCCAAGTACGGTCTAGGACAGAGTGTAGGATTTAAGGCATCCAAAGGTTTAGGTCGGGTTTACAAAAGGTTTTGAAGGGCTGTAGGAGGTTGATGCAAAGGAGGAGCCAACGTCTTGGAACACCAACAGCTCTGCAAATGCACCCTTCGAGCTTGCAGCTTCGGTGCTGTCGCGCAGATCCGACACCGACTCGTTCTTTTGCAGACGTCGGAGCTGGAGGCGGAACATCTCGATCTGAGCCGCAAGGGATCTACGATTGGAGGAGAATGTAAAGGTTCTGCTCAAGGCAAAAAAATATCAAAGCTCGGGGATCGGCATCGCCTCGAAGCTGGCGGTGGGGGGGTTGGAAACGCGCATCCGTCTTTTAGAGACCGCCGGTGGCATCTCCACAGCCCCCCCTGGCCCCTGGCCTGGCAACTCGCCTTCGGTCGGTTGAATCCTCACCCGCTTGGAAATCCTGCTCGGTATATCAAGGGCAAAACACTACTCTGCATAAAGACACAGCCCTCCTTCTGGGATTTTGTGTTAGATGTCATGCGATATCCTATGTGCTCATTATGTCATTTGACGAAACTAACTTCCCCAAGTAGGAATGTACTCTGTTTTCTCCCTGGTAACACCGCTATTGCTCGCTGGAAACACTCCCATGATCCCGATAGAACCCCACCAGCACAGTGGCCTTCTAGAGCCCTTACAACCGCTACAAAGCTTAGCTGTTGATCGTTCACGTTTTTTCTCAAGGTAAAAATGCCGGCATCTTCCCTGTCCTTGAGATGAATGACGAGGCATCAAAGAAGTAGAAAGCGGCTTCTTAGGCCCTGCTGTGGAACCGTGATCCCGGAACGGACCCCAAACAGCCCAAACAGTCATAAATCCCAACAGCACTCTCATAAGCCCCTTCGTTTGCATGTTCGGGGCTCTTGGAAGATCCCAGCTGCCTCGCGGATGTACTCGATGCCTCAAACCACAAGTCTTGGCACAGGGTTGCAATCGTCTCAGACTGTGTGTGCTTATGAAGACTGTCATCACACTGAGCTTACTGTGCCGAGTCCCCAGCGCATGTCGTTCATGCGCCGCTGCCAAGTCTCCTTTCAGTTAAGGCTACGATAAACGTCCAGGGCAAAGCTTCATCCCAAACCATGCACAAGAGTTCATTCTAGGATAGCGCTCAAGACGCTGAGCCCGGCCCGACGCCCAAGACTTTCTTCTACACAGGTGGGTGAGGTTTGTCGTGTTGCCCGTCGCATTGGGCCTTGTGCTTGCAAGGCTCGTGAGATCATGAGAAGGTCGACGATTCAAGCCTCTAACCTGTATTGCAGCCAAAGACGGCTCATGCACCCGAAGCATTGCTAGAACACGGCGCAGCCCTCTGAGACTCAAAGTGATTGCTATGACTCGGAAACATGCAACAGTTCCCGCGTCCTTCTCCCTCTTGATCTTGTCACAAGCCTTCATCTTTTCCTGCACGCAGTCACCGCAAAGACCACGCCGATTTTTCGGCCTTGCACGCCTCAAAGTCCTACCAACACGTATGGTATCAGCACTGATAACAGGATGAACGATGACTCTAAGTTAAACTAGCAGAAGATAATCATGCGACAATAACAGCTAATCAGCTAATCTGATTCACCGAAGGCTTCTCTTCGTCCAGGCCGCAGGGACAAACGTGCCCCAGCAGCAACTTCAATAAACCCCTGCACCCTAAAATCTTACACCCCGTGAAACATTGACAAAACCCAAGAACACCGCAGCCCTGTAAGCAATTATGCACGTGCCTCCCACTCCTGAAGCCGCTTGTAAAGGAGCTTGTCCTCCCGAAAACACTACTAACTTCGCCAGGAAAGACCCGTCAGTTAAGAGATACTTCGAAGCTTCGCAACTGCACAAAAAGCATGCATTGGAAGCTTCATAGATCTCATTGACACCTGAGACTTGGAGGGTCCAACCCCAACCCCGGTCGAACCCTCAACCCAAACCCTGGAATCTGGGCTGCAGAAACTGTCGCCAGGATCGTGGCCGGGGACGGATCAAGATTGCCTCTCCACGCAATATCCCAAACCTATTTGAGTTGTGTGTTCCTGGATTTGGCCAACCCAATGTGAACGCCCACAACCGTAAAAAGCCTGCAACTCTCACAGTAGGCCAAGGTGCAATGTTCAGCACCTGCCCAACAGAGAGGTCTCCCTGCGTTTTGCTGCGAATAAGTCGTGGACGATAGAAAAGCTGGTTTGGATGGAATCGGACGAAAAACAGCGGTGCCTGCATACTGAGTGCTTGTTCTGGCCTTCCACAGTGTGACTCTGTGCATGACAGCCAGCACCAAAACATCATTCGGCTCAGTTTCTGACATGACAAAAGAAATTCAAGTCTCTTCAGGTTCTGGAACTTTGCTTACGGTGGCTGATCTGCGAAACGATCGCTTGGTATCCTTGCAATAGCATCTCAACATAGCCGAAAATGTCGGATTCCAAAAGCCTGCGAAGCTTCTGTACGAAGAAGAGCACAAATAGGATGCTGCTTTTGCTTGATGGAAAGTGTCAAGCAGGAGCACAATCGAAGGGGGAGGGCTGCGTTTTAAGAACTTGCCAAGACGCGCCTGCTTCTCGACTGTTACCATACCACTGCTGCGCAGTACGTCCAGAAACTGCGAAAGGCATTGCTTGACGAGGTCTGCAGCCTGCAGCTTCGGCATCAGCCCCAGGTCCGGATGGACGAAGGCACACCGCTGGAACTCTACATTCTACATCTTTCCCAAACATCTTCTGCACTCACACCTCCCCCCCCCACCCCCTACGATAGAATCCTCGTGGGCTCTGGAATAGGCTGAATAGCCCAAGCACCACCCGAGCCACCGAGCCCCGCCTGCCCTGCAAGTTGAAGAACCCAGGTACCTCGCGGAATCGGGATGTGGTGCCGGAATCGGGATGTGGTTGGACGGGAGGTCGGAAGCCCGAGGCTTTATGTATCTACACAGCGCGTGTCATTGCATATCCGTATAAAGAAAACTAAAAGCGCATATTGTACATATAATATATATATATATATATATTTATTTATTTATACACATATATTCATGCCTGTATGTACGTATGAACTCATACTCATACTCATGCTCATACTCACATTCATACCCATACTCATGTGCATATTCATTTTCAGATGCATACTCATAATCATAATCATAACCACCATCACGATCCACAATCATAATCATCATTATGATGATGTAGCTATTGATATTCACATGATTACATATCCATACACACAGCTGCATGAAAAAAACAAACAAGCGATAAATGTTTAAAGTTCGTGACATACTTACAATACATCATAGACCGCAGAAACACATACGTACATACATGCGTGTACATATTTGTATGTTCCCTCAGTTCTTGCTGATGCACCTTTCAGATTCAGCGCAGGGCAGCTGATGGAGATCGAGAACAAGGACGCACGCTCCATGGCAAACGGCTACGGCAGCCACCATTTACAGATCGCAAGGATGGTGCTAATACTGAATCGTATTAACCGACAACCGATTGTTGCGTACATGTACATTTATACCGTTGTTTACAAATATATAATTATCTGCTATATCTATCTGCTTCGATTCAAAGCCTCAACCCTTCAAGCCTGTCTGCTGCGCCGCCCGCTTTTCGGGCAGCGGGTTTCGCAGCGGCTGCGTGGCCAGTGCCAATCACTTGGATACATTTAAACCGTTGGAAAAATTCAACATTTCTCTAAATGTCGGCAACCCTGATGTTTCGATTTCCAAGGATTCCAAAAATGCATCAAAGACCAGCAACAGAGTGAAATTACACCTCCGAAGACCAAACAGTTCCATATACACACATGTATTTATAAATTTACACGGGCATTGAACTGGCTTAAAGCGGGAAACTGCTAATGGATTGGGTTCCCGCTCCAGCGTCAACCCAGTTCCTTCTTTGATTTCGTTTAATCCTGGAACTTCTTATCTTTGGTTTAGTAGAAGCAAGAATCAAACTCCAAACACTTTTTTTTCCGTAGAGGTTGCTTGGACGGAATCTCCGCCTCGTTTTAGACAGCACGTTTGTGGATTTGAACCTGTCAGTGCCGTATCAGATATGCAACGCACCTTGATGACTGTTATGCACAGCTTCACGTTGAAGCGAAGAAGAGGTATGGGTGCTACATTGTTTTTTCTTCGCAAAACGTCCCAAAAAGCGATTTCGTGAAGTCTGCTTTTCTCATTTGCTTTATTTGCAAAAACTCTCCATCAAACGATTTCGTGTCCACATGAATGACACATCTAGAATCAAGTTGACGCTTAGCTCGTTCAGTCAATGGAGCTCACAGATCTACGTTTTTCAAATCTGTTGGTAGTAAGCTTCGAAAAATCGTAAAGAAGCCTTTTTTCATGGCTTTGGTCAAAAGTTGGACTGACAAATGTCTGAACTGTGTGCTGATGGACTGGCAGCCAGTATTTTTTCTTGAACAAGCTCCAATTCGCAAAGATTCTGCTGCCGAGTCTGGCTGTTTTGTGTGTGTACGTTTCTGTGCGTGTTTCTGTGTCTATGTGAAGCTGGAATTTGTTCTGTGTTTCGTGCATGTGTTCGTACATGTGTGTATGTGGAGTGGAAAAGCTAGAAGGAGTGTGGATCAACTCAACTGTGTGCATGTGTGTGTGTGTGTGTGTTGTGTGTATGTGTGTGTTTGTGTGTGTCTGTGTGCTGTCTTTGCGTGTGTGTGTGTGTGTATGTGTGCGCGTGTGCGTGTGGGTGTGTGGGTGTGTGTGTGTGTGTGTGTCTGTGTGCTGTCTTTGCGTGTGTGTGTGTGTGTATGTGTGCGTGTGGGTGTGTGTGTGTGTGTGTGTGTGTGTGTGTGTGTGTGTGTGTGTGTGTGTGTGTGTGTGTGTGTGTGTGTGTGTGTGTGTGTGTGTGTGTGTGTGTGTGTGTGTGTGTGTGTGTGTGTGTGTGTGTGTGTGTGTGTGTGTGTGTGTGTGTGTGTGTGTGTGTGTGTGTGTGTGTGTGTGTGTGTGTGTGTGTGTGTGTGTGTGTGTGTGTGTGTGTGTGTGTGTGTGTGTGTGTGTGTGTGTGTGTGTGTGTGTGTGTGTGTGTGTGTGTGTGTGTGTGTGTGTGAACCTCCCTAGCACATGGGAGCAGAGGGTCACTCCTACACTGTTTGCAATTTCGCTTTTCAACATAATCCGACATTGGACATTTACCAAATCAACTGTTGCAGGGGGATCAGGCTTCCAGTGACTGACCTGATCCAACGAAGCTAGGTCACTGGAAGGGAAGTGATTGAGGACGCTCAGTCATGTACCTGCACAATTTTCGGCAGCCCCCTGTGGTGCCAAGATTAGTCTGAGGACAGGCCCCCTGTGGTGTCCAGATTAGACAAACAATTTGTACGGTTGCCGCAATCTGACAAACAGTTGCAACATGAACAACATTCCTCTCTTTTTGTCCTTTGCACTCGTACTCTTGGCCGAATCCATCAGTGTGATCAGCGTGGGTCGTTGAGACTCCAGAGCAACGGCTTTCCGTCATGGCGCCGTGGTGACCCTCCGGGGAGACCGGTGATGAACCGGGTGTTCAGCCTTCGTTCAGATCGTTCAGATTCTCCCGATGCTATTTTATCTCTCTCTCTCTGATGCTCGCATGTGCGTCTGACATGAGTGCAGGTGCAGTAATGGACGGCTAATGCAGTAAAGTGCGTCTAGTGAGCAGGTGCTACCTCGCTAGTCTGTCCTCTATTCGACCGCTTCTTTATTTCTCAGGGACTGCAAGGGCATGTGCAACTGACATGAGGGCAGGCGTGGTAACATGTGTCTAACGCAAGTGAAGCAGCGCTTCCTCCGGGAAGTAATCGGCCTTCTTCTTTCTTTATCTCCGTCTTCGACATCTCAAGTCCGTCCAGCAGGGACAACCAGGACAGCCTGCACTTTGCTTGTGCAACTGTGTTTGTTTCACCAACTTCGTTGCAGCTATGTGGCCGGATTATTTTACCACGCAGCCACCAGCAACACCATACGCACCAACAACCCGACCGGTGCTCAATCAGTTTCACCCGAACACCTGGGTACCGCAGTCACAAGGATACCCAGCAATGATGCCAACTGGCATTGCTGCCACTCAGCAGCACACACTGCCGACGCAACCCACTACGATCCCCGTTGAGCAGACACACAGCTTCCCCATGATGCCATGTGGACACACTGCTCCTATACCACAGCATCCGATGGTATACACACAACTCAGCACACCACAGCCCCAGATGCCACAACAACCTCCACCCCAGCAATTCATGTCGCAACATCCCCCCACTTTCTTGAACCCTGGTCCTTTGCCTACCCATACAACAGTTTTTCCCACGAGCCCATCACCTCTGACACCGCATCACTCCCAGCCTGCCACATACAACATTCCTTTCACACCACCTGCTCCACAACCCCAACCTGCACCTTGCAGCATCCCTTCCACACAACCCGCTCAACAATCCCATATACCGCCGCCAACGACCCTCCAACAAGCTTCACAATCTCACCCCACCAATGTTACCACTACCGATGCTGCACACATTGCCCCACAGACACCGGCAATCACCCCCCAACCCCAGCCAATAAGCACAGCCAACACACCCTCTGTCAGCACATTACCACCCACACAACCACCACCCGCTACGGGATCGGGAGACACTGACCCGCTCGCAGCACGTGCTTCTTCCCACCATCCTCCGTTGCCACGCAGGAGACGGCACTCACCCACACGCAGCAGAACCCGCACCGTGAGCACTAGACGCCGACGACGCACACGCAGCAGAGCACGACCTGCCAGCAGCGGGAGACAGCACCGCCGACGCAGACACCACCGATCCCGCGACACCCGCAGAAGTCGTTCTCGCAGGGACACCAGGCGATCTTCGTCGACACCTCCGCGGACCTCGGTTGTGCTCCGCAGCTATTCTACAGTGCGTGATGTTGATACCAACAAGTGGCATTACAGAGCCACACAGCTACGTCAGAGGCCACCCACCCCACCCAAGGTCCCACAAAGGACATTGGCCTCGCAGGTTCAACGAATCGCCCTCCGCATCAAGGGCAGCCAAGCAGCACAACAGCAGCCCCCAGCCGGACAGGGCACCTCCTCCCGCCAACAGGCTCAGCACAATCCCTCCAGCTCCGTTCGGACACCTGCCCCGACCTACGATGCATCAACAGCCGTTGCCCCATCGGGTCAGCCAACCCTCGAACAACTGGGCAAACAGAGCAGACCACCACAGATTGATGTGGCGCCATTTTCTGAGCTTTACGAACATGAGAAGCCGACCCCTCACGCCGTCGACATGGAAGAAGCACACAAACTCGCCAAAACTTTGGGCGAGATAGCTGCTGACAGCGATTTCAGGCAGGAGACTTTAGCCGAATTTGCACATGCAGTGCTACAATCAGGCACGCGATCAGCGTGCAACGAACTTGGGGCAGTGCTGACGCCAATATCGGACGGCGTGCATACTATGTTATTCATTCCTTGGGCTGGAGAGCAGCGCAGAGCGTTCGGCACCCGTGCCACTGACCCACCAGGAGAGACATACATCTACACCGCCGGACACGGCACGAGCATTGCAAGTGCCGCGCGCATTATGCGCGAGGACTTGGTCCGCCCAAGTTCAGTCAGACACTGCTTCGACGACAAGTCCTACCCACCCATTCCCTCTTGCGTCATTTACGGGAATGCGACCCCAGGAGATGTATCGGAAAGCACGGTACATATAGTAACCGATCAATGTACACGGCGGCCGAAGGGCCAACAGGGAGTGATCGTCATCGGGACAATACGGACTAAGTATCAGCATTACAAGATGACGTATCGGGACATGTATAGAGAGGCCTTCATCGTGGGGCGAAAGGGTGTTGTGCGGACCCCAGAGAAGTGGGGATTCCACTCGGGGCATTTCAGCATCGTTGGATTCGGCCTTATTCAGTGATGTTCTGTATTACTTTCTTTCTTCTTCCGTTTCTACCTTTCACTCTCGAGTATCCTTTCTCTTCCAGGCCTGAATCCCGTTGCACATAGCTGTATGCAATCAAGCATTTGCTCCGACCCCGCTTTTGAGCCAAAGAAGAGACGATGCAGCTGCATGCTGGATGCATTGCACAAGTAGATGCTGACACTCAAGCCAACTATGTTGTCCATGCACGTGCTATTTGCAGCTTTTGCAGTCACAGGCAATTGTAGTGCCCCATTTTGCAACCATGTACAAGCCGACACAGCCTCAGTGGCATACAACAATGCCAACAGGCATCATCGGTACAGCAATCAGTGCGGTGCAGCGACAAACAGCCTCAACCAGCAGCACCCCAATGCACCCGATTTCCCCACCACCAGGGATCCACAACATCCCACCCCACACCCCACCCATGACCCCAACTACTTGGGGTTCAGCTCACCCTTACAGCCACAACACCACTTTCCCCC